CTTGACCACCATGAAGTTTGATGGTTCTCATACTATGCACAAACATATAATTGAGATGACAAACATTGCAACAAGACTCAAGTCTCTTGGAATAATAGTAGATGAAAAATTTATTGTGCAATTCATTTTGAACCTGTTACGGTTCAAGTATGGTCCGTTCTAGATGAATTATAACACCATAAAAGACAAATAGAATATACATGAATTGCATAATATGTTAGTTCAGAAGGAGACCATACTCAAGAACTTAGGAAGTCATTCTGTTTATTATGTAAGAAATCAAGGAGTTGGAAAGAAAGTTGTTAAGAAACATGGAAATGGTAAATGACCATTAAAGATTGACGAGTCCTCTACTAAGATCTAGAAGAAGAAAAATGACAAATATCATTCCTATATAAAGACTAGATATTTCCAGAAGGACTACCTATAGCATCAAGCTTGATTCGAAAAGAAATGTGAACATAATGATTATGTATGTTTTGAATCAAAATTAATTAAAGTTCCCCATAATACTTGGTACATTGATTCTGAATGTACGAGTCATGATTCTAATGTGATGCAGAAATTCCTTTCAACACAAACCATAAATCCAAATAAGAATTTCGTCTTCATGGAGAATATAGTGTTGGTTCCAGTGGAAGTTGTTAGGACTTATCGTTGATCATGGACACTGGATTTCAATTAGACTTGATAAATACTTTTTATGTACCCAGTATTGCTAAGAATTTAGTTTCTTTGTCTAAGCTTGATGTTGTTGAACACTCTTTTAAGTTTGGGAATGGTTATTTCAGTTTGTTTAATCGTACTTATATGATTGGATCTGGTACACTTTATGATGATTTATATAAATTGAATTTGGATAAGTTATATGTTGAACCTCTTATGACCTTGCATCACAATGTTGACACTAAATGTAGTTTGGTAGATGAACGATTTGTTTACTTGTGGCATAAGCATTTGGGACAAATTTCTAAAAAAATAATGCAAAGATTAGTAAAGAATGATATCCTTCCGAATTTAGATTTTACTAGTTTGAGTGCGTGTGTGTATTATATTAAAGGAAACAAACAAAACACATAAAGAAAGGAGTCACAAAAAGCACTTAATTTCTTGAAATCATACACACTGATATATGTGGTTCGTTTGATGTGAATTCTTTCAATAAGGAGAAGTACTTCATCACCTTTATTGATGATTTCTCGCATTATGAAAATACCTATTTATTGCATGAGAAATCTCAAGCAGATGCCTTGGAAGTTTATATAAATGAAGTTGAAAGGTAATTATATAGAAAGGTGAAAATTGTCAGGTTAGATAGAGGTGGTGGGTATTATGAAAGATATGATGAAAGTGGAAAACACCTTGGTCCATTTGCTAAGTTCCTTGAGAAACATGGTATTTGTGCTCAATACAGAATACTAGACATACAATAACAAAATGGTGTGTTAAAAAGACGTAATTGAACCTTAATGGATATAGTTAGGATCATGTTAAATAACTCATGTATACTTGTATCGTTATGGATGTATGTTTTAAAGACTGTCATGTATTGGTTGAACATGGTTCTTACAAAAGTTGTTTAAAAGACTCCTTTTGAGTTTTGGACAAGTAGGTAACCCAGTTTGAGACATTTTCATGTTTGGGGATGTCAGACAGAAGTAAGAATAAATAATTCATAAGAAAAGAATATGGATGCAAGAAAAATCAATAAATATTTCATTGGTTATCCAAAAAAACCAAAAGGGTATATGTTTTATTGTTCTACCCATAGTACAAGAATTGTTGAAACTGGAAATGCTCGATTAATTGAGAATAGTCAAAACCAGTGGAAGTGAAGCTTCATAAAGTGTGAAGATTAAGGAAGTTAGAGAGTACACGTTTCCGTAACTAATATTTATTCTTTAAGAGTTGTTGTTCCCCATGTTATAGAATCACACAACAATAAAAAAGATCAACAAATTAATGATCTCTTGGTTAACAATGATTCGATAGTATAACAACCATTAAAAATAATATTAAGAAGATCTCACAGAGAAAGAAAGTCTGTTATTTCAAATGATTATGTGATTTATCTAACAAGAGCCAAAAAATGACTCAAGTATTGATAATGACCTAGTTTCATTTTCAGAAGCTATTAATGGTGATAATTCTGATAAGTGGTTAAATGCTATGAAAGATGAACTTAAATCAATGACACGTAATGTGTTGAGAACTTGTCGTATTGCTAGAAGGATGCAAAAGAGTTGGGTGTAAATGGGTCTTTAAGATTATGGTTGACTCTTACGACAATATCGAACATTACTTTCAGACTATGGTTGACTCTCATGGCAAATATTGAACCTTACGTTCGACTTGTTACCAAAGGTTTTACTCAGAGAGATGTCATTGACTATAAGGAAACATTTTCACCTATTTCTAAGAAGATTCTTTTAGAATTATCATGTAATTAGTAGCTCATTACGAGTTGCATCAAATGGATGTTAAAACTATCTTTCTGAATGAGGATTTATAGAAGGATGTTTATATGGACCAACTGGTGGGGTTCATTGAAAAAGAAAAAGAACATATGGTGTGCAAACTTAAGAAATCAATATACGAACTTAAACAAGCTTCTCGACAATGGTATCTTAAGTTCAATAATATTATTTTGTCATTTGAATTTAAGGAAAACACTGTTGATCGATGTATATATCTGAAGGTCAGTGGGAGAAAGTAAATTTATATTTCTGATTTTGTATGTTGATGATATCTTGTTTGCGACTGACGATCTTGGTCTATTAAGTAAGACTAAGGAGTTTCTCTCTAACAAATTTGAAATGAAAGATAAGGGTGAGACATACTATGTTTTAAAAATAAAAATATTTCGTGATAGATCATAAGGACTGTTAGGTTTGTCTTAGAAAACATATACTAATAAAGTTTTGGAGAGATTATGAATGAATAAATATTTAACATCTCCCATTCCAATACTGAAATAAGACAAATTTAGTCTCATGCAATGTTCAAAGAATGATTTGGAACAAAAATTGATAGAAAATACTCCTTATGCATATGTTGTTGGGAATTTGATGTATGCTTAAACATGTACGAGATCAGATATTAATTTTGCAGTTAGTATGCTAGGTAGATACCAAAGTAATCCTAGACTGGATTATTGGAAAACTACAAAGAAAGTATTCAGATACTTCCAAGGAACAAAAATCACATGCTTACTTACAGGAAATCGATCACCTTGAGGTGATTGGATATACAGATTCAGACTTTGTCAGGTGTATGGATATAATAAATTCTACATTTGGTTATGTGTATCTTTTGGTCGAAGGAGTGATTTCATGGAAAGTGTGAAGCAGTCTGTCATTGTTGTATACACCATGGAAACTAAATTTGTGGTATGCTTTTAGACCACAGTTCAGACTAATTGGTTGTAAAATTTCATTTCAGTAGTTGCCAACATTGCTAAACCGTTGAAAATTTATTATAATAATTTCGCAACAGTCTTCTTTTCTAAGGATGACAAGTATTTTAAAGGCGATAAGTATATGAAATTGAAATACTTTGTCAATAAAGAAGAAATTCAGAAACATAGAATGTCAATGGAACATATTAGTACTGATCTTATGTTGCTGATCATTTAACAAAAGGGTTACCACCCAAATTGTTTGTTGACCATGTGGATAATATAAACATTATGTCTACTAATGAATGTTCAATGTTATTATTAATGTTTATGTGACACTCTCATGTTTTTAATGTATAAGTTTTTAAAATTTGTGTTTTCTTCTTTATGTATATACATACAAATTATGATAAAGAAAATAAATTATGTTATTGTTGTTATTATTGAAAATGACATTATGTTTGAACCCATTATGGACTTCTCATTGTAAAGTCATATTAAGGAGAAATGAATAATATAGTAGTATGTGGATTGAATGACATATAACCATCATGACTCTTGTTATTTCTAAATAGTGATAAAACCAATTTATGTAAGATCCTTTAATGCACATTATGATTTATATATTAAATCATGTTATCCCATCACTTCAATCAAGTGAGAGAATGTTATAATTAATTAATAAATTAATTTAATTATGTTGTAAAATATAATAATGGACCTAAATGTGATTTACTAAAATATAATAAAATAAAAAAAACTGACAATAACCAACTTGATGAATGATGATTAATAAAAATTATTTAGGGTTCTATTTTTGCTATAATAGTTTTTTCTCTCTTAATCATCACAAAGTATGAGAGAAGAAATAAAGAAAAAAAAAGATAAATTGAAAAAAAGAAAAGATTAATGAATAAAAAGATTCAAGACTTTATTTTCATTGGATCTTTTATAAATCAAAATTAATATCTCTTTATCATAACGTATGTAAATACATGAGAATAGTAAATTTTAAAATCTTATAAATTTTTTTTCTATACTTAGAAAAACATTAAAACTATTTCAATTAATAAAAATAACCAATATATAATTTATCACAAAATAATGACCATGTATAATAAAAGGTTAAGTTTTACCACATAATTTTATTCAACCAAAATACTTTATTAGAAAATAAAAATTTAAGTATTTTTTTCCCAAAAATTCTTCTATACATTTTACATGCACATAATTAATATTTATAGTTCTTATTTATTTATTTTATATTGATCTTTGTTATTATACTATAGGTATCAACAGAATACGTCAAGATAAATAATATATAATACTTTTTAGATTAAAAAAATCTAAATATATTTTAAAAATAAACACATATTGATAAAAACAATATGCAACTAAATATTTTTAACAAATGAAATATAAAAACATTAAATATTCTAAGATCCAAAAGTGAAGAATAAATACTGTAGAGACTAAATACATTTTTTTTAAGAAAATAAGAATATATTTTAGTTATAACAAATTAATATTTAAAATTAAACTTTATGAATTTAAATGGCTAGATCTAGAATTGCACACCATCGTGTTTCTTTTGAACCTTTAAATGGTCGTGGAACCTTCTGACGCCACCACACTTCCCACGTGGCGCAGACAGGTAGATCCCCGACACACATGCAAATAATGTTGACAACAAAGAAATCACGGCACAAACATCAACATAATATAGTTTTTAAAAATAGAAAACGCCCTACATAATAAATTTTAAATAATAACTAAATGAGAGAAATTAACCTTTATTCTTTCAAAATTAAAAAAATTCTATTTCAACGAATATGTTCCAAAAATAAAGTTTATTCAATATGAAATTAGATTCACACATTTTTGTGATTTTTAAGTCGTAAATTTCAAATTGACTTTATCTTTAGCCTTTACATAAAATTCATATTGATTGACATTTCTAATTTTCAACGAAATAATAAATTTTTTATTTCAATGTCACCTCTAAATATATATTACTGTCTTCTAACATTTGATAATTCATTTATAAAATTTGATAAAGAAAAAAAAAGACATTTCAATAAAGAAAGGAGGTTTGGGATGTTTTCCTCTAAATTTAATTTAAATAAAATAAATTAAAAAAATATACTTAGAAATTTTTTATATTTTAGCGTATTATAGTTATTAAGGTGTATTTAGTAATTATCCTATTACAATATAAAAGTTTGATTGTGTTTTTATTCATTAAATTTAAATAAATAAATTTTTGGTCCCTTCAATTATTTTTTATTTATTTTTCAAATTTAACAAAATATAATTTTAATTTCTAACCACTAAATTTGAAGAATTAAAAAAAATTATTTCAGTCTTTGAAATTTACTTTTGAGTAAATAAAATTAAATATATATATTCAATTCTATGGAATTAAATTAAAAATTCTTAATTTTAAAGAATTAAAATAAATAACTATTTAAAACTTGAAGAATTAAAAATATAATTGCATTTAATATAGAATATCAGTAAATAAAAAATAAATTTAAATTATGTTATGTTAATATTTACTGAAATTGACCATATATTAATTTAGTAAAAAAATCGTCCTTTATTATATTTTATTTTAATTGAAAAATTATTTTATTTTAATATATTTTTAACATTATAACTTTTTATTATTCTTAGAAATTAAGAGATTAACACAATTTATTGTTTTTCATTTTTTCTAACAATTCAAGTAAGACAATAAGTGATATATGAATATAAACTATATGGTTTAAAGACAATAAGTGATATATATATATATATATATATATATATATATATATATATATATATATATATATATATATATATATATATATTTATTTATTTATTTATTTATTACGTAATATGTTACTATATGATTTGAAGATACTATAATAGATTAGGAAAAAAATTAAATTATCCAATATAATTTTAAATGTTATTTTTAAGTAAATTTTCAAAATTTAAGATAATTAAAAATACTTAATTCATTATATATTTAACCTTATATTATTTTATATTTTCATTAAAAAGTCTATTATTTATTTTTAGTTTGATAGTTATGTATAATTGGCAAAATAATAATAAGTTACAATGTTTTTATTTATTCATCATAAAAACTTAGTCAATTTTAACATTTACATTTAATAAAAGAAATAATTTTTATTTAATACTTCACTAAAGGTCAAAATATTATAAATTTAAAATATATTAAAAATGAATAAATTCTTGAATTTTTCCCCATGCATTAACCAAACACTTTTTTATTTACAAAAATTAGAAAAGAAAAATCAATTCAAATCCAGTCTCTTTTTCTCTATCTCTGCCTTTACGTGCTGTCTTCTTCTTTCTTCTCTTCTACCTCTCTCTTTCCTTACCAGCATCATCCAAACCCATTCAATTCAAACCTCCAAACCCAAAAAAAAAAAAAAAAACCTAATCTCATGTGATTTCAAGGTTAATTAACCTAATTCGATCCAAATTAAGCCATGAAATTATCCTAATTAACGATTGTCCGGTTTCTGCAACCGCCCGAGTCTTTTCTTCTACCAGCGATGCCGACCGTGGCAGTCAAACTCTATAGCGTTTTCTTCAAGTTTCTCCTAAAGAACCGTTTGCAGAACCGGATCCTAGCCCCTGCCGAAGAATCTAACCCTTTCGGCGTCACGACCCGACCCGACGAGACTGTCGCCGCCGCCAACCCCTCCTTCTCCGACGGCGTCGCCACCAAAGACATCCACATCGACAACCTGACTTCCCTCTCCGTCCGAATCTTCCTCCCCGATTCCGCACTCTCGCCCGAACCCAATATTAAACCTAGCCCCAAATCCGAACCTGGATCCGGTGGCTCCGAAACGGCGTCGTCGCGCCTGGCGCGACGCAACAGCTACGAGCCCTCGGTGTTGACGCCACGTGAGGAGACGCGACGGAGCAGTGTCGGCGAGTACCGAGGGTACTTGCCGGCGCCGGACTCTTGCCGGAAAAAATTACCGGTGTTATTGCAATTTCACGGCGGGGGGTGGGTGAGTGGGAGCAATGATTCGGTGGCGAACGATTTGTTCTGCCGGCGGATCGCGAAGCTCTGCGATGCGATGGTGGTGGCGGTCGGGTACCGACTGGCGCCGGAGAATCGATACCCGGCGGCGTTCGAGGACGGGATGAAGGTCCTGAATTGGCTGGCGAAGCAGGCGAATTTGGCGGAGTGTAGTAAGTCGTTGGGAGGGAGGAAATCGGAGGGTCATAACAAGCATATTGTTGATTCTTTTGGAGCGTCAATGGTCGAGCCTTGGTTGGCTGCTCATGGAAATCCATCAAGGTTGCAACTCACCTTTTTGTTCTGATCTTTCGTTTGATTTATATCCATATCTTAATGTTGTTGATTGATCTGTTTGTACATTTTGTAGTTTCGGATTGGGGGTGATACTGATACGAATATTATGATTCTAGGTGTGATTGAAATGAATGGTGTGGTTTTTTTTTTTCTCCATTGTCTGTTTGAAGTATTGATAGTGCTTGGAGAGTGTTAGAGCATTGTGTATCAAATTGAACAAGGCATCTATGAGTTAGGGAGGAGGTGACGGGTTTAGTAGTAGTCGGGTTTTCAATCTGATGATTATCGCAAATGAACTCATGACTGACTTTGGTCCTAGAAACTCATTCAACTTCTCCAGAATTTAAGGGCATAAGTTGATTTTTAACGTGTGATAGAAGTTTAGTTTGTTTTCCTTTTTTTTTCTTTTATTCTACGTGTTTATGGAAAAAATTTATCTAAACAGAATCTTAGTGTTGTCTGGGAGGATGTCTTAAGAGTTATTCTTTCACTTTGTTTTACTTGTTTAATTTAGGCTCATTTATGGGAAGTTTCAGATTTGAAACAACAATATGTATACTGCCTTTTTTTACTGGTTAACCCTCCAGAGTTTTCTTGAATAAAATTACATTTTGATGCATCTTCATGTGCCAAACGTCTAGATCTTGTGCATATAAGTGGGTTTTGGGATTCTCAGTTGTTGCACAGGCTAGAGAGAGCATTCTGTTATATGGACGAAATTCATTATTTTTTGGGTTGTATAAGTCATGGTGTGTCGATCTAGTAGATATGGTTTTCAAAAGTCATTACATATCTTGCCTTTCTCCCTTCCTGTTTATTTAGTTTTTTAGGTTTTAATTAAATAAAATTTCTTACTTGTCTACTATAGTTCTTTTGCCACTCTTTCCTATGCAGAATAACGTATTTGTTCATCTCACTTTCGAAAATGGGATTGATTTTTGTCTATAGAAGGAGTGAGCTTCATTTTTCATCTTATCCATAATATTTTATGGCATACTTTTAGATTGTGTAGTCAATTATCCTTGTTCTTATAGGTTAACATTATAGATATGCTGATTCTTCTCTATAGAAGGATTAAGCTTCATTTTGCATCTTATCTAAAGACATTATGCTTGATGACATGAGATCATTCACTTTTATATTATGTCTGTAGCTAATTAACCCATTCCTTATAACTTAGCATTCTAGATATGCTGAAAAACACTAAAGGCATTGAGAGGGGGAGAGGAGGTAAAGTGATGATGTCGTGGAAAATATTCTTCTGTTGGATGTCACTTGGTGGTAGCACAGGCAATCCTGATGGGAAATTAGAGGTTTTTGATGATAAAAGAAAAAAGACTGGTGGGCCTAGGGTGCTTACACACTAGGTTATATGAACCTTTTTCCTATAGGACTTGACCTTTTTTGGTTTTGGTCTTATGATTGCTTACACTACCTTGATTTTATTTTCCTAAACAGATTTATCGAGTGTCTTCCTTTAACAACCCCAATACTTATTATACCATGAAATTGATTTGGGAATCAATCTTATTCTGCTTAATCTCCCTATTCTTAATATTCTATATATTTTTTTCTTGTAAATGGAAATTTTCATTGAATAAAATTACATTTTAGGGCATATATTAGGAGGCACTGGGCATCTAAGTGATTACTTTTGTTTTGCTTGACTATTGCATCATTGATTTTGCAAAGATTTTATCTACCTCCTTTGGACATGGACGAAAATATTTTGGAATACAATGTCTGTTCAGAACTGGTATTGTTTGAAAAACAAAAAAAGGAAAAAGAGAAAGAATGTTAAAGGGTAACAGGGTCTGTAGATAAGATGTTGTGTGTCTGTTACCTTTTTGTCAGGAATTATGTGATTCACTTCTTCACTGCTTAACCTTTTATTTTTTTTCTTTGGTGTTAGATGTGTTCTTCTTGGTGTGAGTTGTGGTGCAAATATTGCAGACTATGTGGCTCGGAAAGCTGTAGAAGCTGGTAAACGTCTGGACCCTGTCAAGGTGGTGGCACAGGTCCTGATGTATCCATTTTTTATTGGAAGTGTGCCCACTCATTCTGAAATAAGGTTGGCAAACTCTTACTTTTATGACAAGGCCATGTGTATGCTCGCATGGAAACTATTTCTACCAGAGGGGGAGTTTAGCCTAGACCATCCAGCTGCCAATCCTCTTGTCCCAGGCCAGGGTCCTCCTTTAAAACAGATGCCTCCAACATTGACAGTGGTGGCAGAACATGACTGGATGAGGGATCGTGCCATTGCATATTCAGAGGAGCTTAGGAAGGTGAATGTTGATGCACCTGTTTATGAGTATAAAGATGCAGTCCATGAATTTGCAACACTTGACATACTTATCAAAAGCCCTCAGGCCCAGGTTTGTGCTGAGGACATTGCCATCTGGGTTAAGAAATATATTTCGCTTCGAGGTCATGAATTCTCTTATTGAGTAGAACATACTAGAAATTAAGATGATGATCGGTGAGAAAATCTTCTCCTCATCTTTGAAATTATCTCAAGGTCGCTTTTCTGCTGCCACCGGTATATACATACCTGGGGGGTATGTGATTATATTATACGATTTGTTTCTATGGTTGACAAGACGTTGCTGTGCTCGTTGTTGACCTGTTCCATGTTCCCTCCACTTGTCAGTTATTGTTGTAAGATAGAGTTGTTTGAGAGCGGATTAGTTGAGAGCTAGTGAGAGATCCTTTCACCTCATGCACACTGCATTTGGAAGCCCCTGTTCATTTTTTCTTGTGTATTATGATGTACTATTTCTCACGATATAAAATTTAGTGATATATTCTTTTAGCATTAGGGTCGCCAATCATGCAGTCCCAGTCTATTTCTTTTTCTATACGGTCCTTGAAGTAGGAGTTCATTGTTAATTAATTTTGTACAAGAGACCAGCACTTTGTTCTTCGATATCATTGAGATTTCAGATTAAAAAACAATTTCCCATTAGATCCGTTTTAGTGATGGTCTCTAGGATGAAGATATGGAGTTTCTTTAATAATATTAGCTAAAAGCTAGAGCTGATTTTGCTTAGTGTACTTTGTTGTGCACAATGTCCAATTAAGAATTATTCCATCGTTATCTTCTTGTTGATTGTTAACTTTTAGACGTTCAGCTACTATAAATATGCTATGACCTTCACTGGATTGACTCGGCTAGTTATCACAAGGTAATTGCCCACAAATTCCTCCCCTTTAATTCTTGGGGTGGGGGAACCATATGGAGGTTGAATCCAGATATTGAACCTCTCATGGAGCAAAGAGATGGTATAGGCTGTGTTCATCATGGTTTAAACTTGTAACCATCTTCATACCCAAGCCAAACAAACCAGTTTGGCTTGCTGGTCTCAATATTGGAAGCACTTTGAGGGCGTGGGAGCCACCACTGACCCAGTGGGGTCTGACAGGTTCATAAATCTGTCAGATTTTCTGGGCGTATTTGCATAGGTGGAATCTCTTAACTGTTCTGTAATCATGACTTTACCAGACATAACTATGGTTGCGGAAGGGTATTTCTTTCGGCACCCTTTAAAAATCTTCGGTCAGCCCTTTCTATTTCAGAATGAGTATTTTGAAATGTGAATTTATATTTGGGAATATCCACTCTAGAATAAAAAGAGTGAGCCAAAATATTTATAGTGTGCAGGAAGTTGGGGTCTTGTGTTTCTTTTAACACTCAAGCAATCTTATGAAACAATTGAAGAAGATAATCGGTTGTACTTGTACATTACGTATCATACAACGTACTCTACACTTTGTTTGAGAAAGGGTGAAAATATAGTGCGTTGAATATTTGTTTGTTTTGTGTAGTTTTATTATCCAAAAAAATTATCAAAAACATTTTGGGCAAAAGTCCCTCCGGCATGATACTACCACCCAATTAAGCCCTTTAAATAAAGGGAAGATATTTTAATATAAATGTTTAATATGAATTTACTTTATCACTACACTATATTAAAGAATAACATAATTAATGTGGTAAAGTAGTAAAATTTTAAATGTTTTTCTTAAAATTTTTAACTTCATAAAAGATGTAACCATGTATGCAAACCCCTCCGAGACAGGAGCACCAAACTAAACTGTCCTAATTTTTTGTTCTCTAATTATACATTTGGCAAGAGGAAGAAGAAACAAAGGTAGAGGAAACATTAGAAAAGAAAATGAGAGAAAAAATAAAATTGATTTTTTAATTAAAAAATTAAATAATTAAGTAAAGTGATAAATAATAAAAATATCTTTATTATAATTTTTAATTAGAATGTAAATGTATATACTTGTTTATATTATAAAATCGTTATACATAATTTTTTTTTCTCTAAGTGTCACTAGGATAATTTCATGTTTTTTTTAATAGTATGTAATTAGGGTACTTTAATCTTTTTCTCTTCTTATTTTAGTATGGATGATTGAGTTACAGGATATCCCCTCAAATCAATTCATTTTATTAGAAAGAAAAAATAATATCTTACCTAAATCACACTAAATCAGTCTTCATATTAAGTAAATTTAGTAAACCAAACACAACATAGTATTTGGTAAGGATGAAACAATTTCAATGAATATGAACTAGATCTATCAATGATGTTTTAATCTCGATAACGGTGGTCTAATTTGAGTGATAATTTTTTATATGTAAGACAATTCTTTTTTCTTTTTTAATGTGATAGTTTGCATGCAAGAAAACAACGTTAAATATATCTTCATTATCTCTCGTTAAATGATGATACTCGAGGGTTGATGGGTTTGAAGGTTATTACAGTTGTTGCAGTTTGGAGAACCATTGGTGTGATGAATAGTTCAGGAAAAAATGATGATATTTTAGGAACCAAAAGTTTACAGGTACAAATTAGCTAGAAGAGTCCTCTATAACTTTCCTATAATAATTTATATAAATCATATCAGTAAAATTTAATCTTTTTTTACGTAGCTTTTACTAACTATTTCATATCACATAATAAATTTTAGTCGAAATTTTTTATCTACAAATTCATATTAAGGGTATAGAGTTTTTTCTTATGAAAATTTTAGGATGCCATGAACACGATCATCAACCCTCATGGCCAATGAAGCTTCCTTGATATGTTCAGAACTAAATTCGAAACTTAAAATGCGAGTAATGTTTGATATAAATAATTATTTTACGTGAGTTGAGTTCAGAATGTTTAGAAAATCAAAAAGGGGTTAATGCTTGTCTTAAAGATAATTGGTTTCAATTAAATATACAAAATTAAGATAATTTTAAAATATTTATTTTATTTCTTTAATAAGATAAATTCATTTCTATCAAATATTATTTATTTTTATTTATATAAAAAACTTATTGTATGATAAAATATTATTTATTTATTTGAACTCGATAATGATCTCTTTGTTACATATTTTTAGGTGCAATGACATAAAACAGTTACAGTACACTATTTAAAAAAAAATATTTTTATTTATTGATGTATTTAAATTTTTTTAAAATTGTCAAGGTATTGGATTTGATTAATTTTTTATATTTAATGCTAGAAATATAGACACATCATTAAAATTAATTTTAATTAAATATGATATATAAATAATAGTAACTTCAACTATTTAATTCTTTATTAAAAATATTATATGCAAATAATATTAATTTCAACTATTTAATATGGTACAAATTGTTTTTATATAATACATCATAGTGGAGAATAAAAGAGTAAACAAGGGACAAGTTATAGTGAGATTACAAGTTTAATTAGACAATTGAAATAGAGATAAACAAAAGAAATATTTTTATAATAAATTTGAAATATATTGTTTTTTTTATTAATTATTTTGATTCAAGAAATACGATATATTTAAATTGAAAATAATATATATTACTTTGACGGTTAATAATTTTTTAAAACTTTTATTTTATTTTTAGCTTTTAATTTTTTTAAGAAAATGGACTTTTACCAATTCTATATTAAAGTTTATGGTTTTGATGATGAAAGTTGTTGAAACTTTCTTTCGAAAACAAAGGATTTTAGTGGTGCAAATACTCATAATTTACAACTATTTCGCTTCATACACATTCATTCAATCATCACTACTTTGTATATATACATGTTCATGAATACATTTTCTCATTGTCACTTTTGATCTTTCTTTACACATCCATTATCTTCTCTATTACCTTATTTTCGTTGTGTTTCCTGAATTAGAAGAGACATCATGAGTCCAAAGATCAAGATTGGCATCAATGGTATTCCGATATGATATCATTTTCTTTTTCTCAACTTGCTTAGAATTGTGTGTCAAATTTGCTCAACTTGCAATTATTTTAACCTTGATAGAGAATGCGTGCTTTATCATTTGACCATAACTTTGTTGGCGCTTTTTTTTTTTTTTTTTTACATCTTGTTAAAAAATAATGATATGTAATGTCGTGTGATGAAGGATTTGGAAGGATTGGTCGTTTGGTCGCAAGAGTGGCACTACAAAGAGATGATGTGGAACTTGTTGCTGTTAATGACCCTTTCATCACAACTGATTACATGGTAAGCAAAATAATTCTTTAATTTTGGGTGAATGTCATGTGGTTTAATATGGTGATGATTGAAATAAATAAGATTTTCTTGTTTCAAATTTGTTTTTTTATACTTATATGGTGTTGTTTCAATTTCTGTAATATAACTTTAATGTGTTTTTTAAGTAGTAATTTAAAATTCTTTCCTGCAGACTTACATGTTCAAATATGATACTGTTCATGGACAATTCAAAAACTGTGAAGTTAAGGTTAAGGACGATAAAACCCTTCTCTTTGGTTCTAGCACCGTCGCTGTATTTGGTGTCAGGTATAATTTAGTTTTGTTTATTTAGTAAATTTGTTTCAATTACACTCACACATTAAACAATTTTTTTAAGTTATGTTTGTTTTGTATTTTGTTAGGAACCCAGAGGAAATTCCATGGGGTCAGACTGGAGCTGATTATGTTGTTGAGTCCACTGGAGTTTTCACTGATAAGGACAAGGCAGCTGCCCATTTGAAGGTTTGTCAGTAGTCATTAAGATATCAAATCACACGATGTTGTGAATAATTTTTGTGAATATGTTCAGTTTCCTAAGTGTTTGGTCATGTCTTTTGATATTAGGGAGGTGCAAAGAAGGTTATCATTTCCGCACCAAGCAAGGATGCTCCAATGTTTGTTGTTGGTGTGAATGAGAAAGAATACAAGTCTGATATTACTGTTGTCTCTAATGCTAGTTGCACAACCAACTGTCTTGCTCCACTTGCTAAGGTAGTTTATCCTATAGTTGGTTAAATTTGAAACGAAATCCACTATATACACATAAAGAACATCTTAATGGAGTGACCATATTGAAATATATTCAGGTTATTCATGACAAATTTGGCATTGTTGAAGGCCTCATGAGCACTGTCCACTCTATTACTGGTAAGTAAGCGTGTAATATTTTGCATTCTATTTCATTGTTATGTTAAATGTGTAATTAGGTTCTCTTGTATGTTACATAGCAACTCAAAAGACTGTTGATGGACCATCAATGAAGGATTGGAGAGGTGGTAGAGCAGCTTCTTGCAACATCATTCCTAGCAGTACTGGAGCTGCCAAGGTATCTAGCAGTATAAATATATGCACTTCCATTTCTCTTATTTGTTCATGTGATTTGTAGGTTTAGTTGACATTTACAAATAAGGTGATATAACAAGTAAACATGTGATTGTAAGTCATGTTATGTTATCTTTCCATATGCTGTAACTACTGAATTTTTACTCTCTTAATTTGTCAAGTTTCATTATCATCAAAATTATATAACTTTGCATCCGATATAACTCTTCAATGAAATGACAATGTCTATTTGTGAACTTTTCAGGCTGTTGGTAAGGTGTTGCCAGCCCTTAATAACAAGTTGACAGGAATGTCATTTAGGGTTCCAACTGTAGATGTTTCAGTGGTTGATCTCACTGTTAGACTTGAGAAGGGAGCTACTTATGATGAGATAAAAGCTGCTATAAAGTGAGAATGATAAAGTCTTTCATATGCAATTGCTATAATAAAGTCTTCATCTCATGTTTTCAATTTTTTTTACAGGGAAGCATCAGAGGGAAGTTTAAAGGGAATCCTTGGTTACACAGAAGATGATGTTGTGTCTACTGATTTTATTGGTGACAATAGGTGATATGGCTTATTCTTAATAAGATATATAGTGTACACCATCATCACATATAGCACCTAAGATGTTCAAATTTTTGTTTTAGCTTAGAAGAATTTAAAAGTAAGGATAGGTAAATAAATGTTAATGTTTGTGGCTTATGTTCATATTGCTATAACCTTTGATTTTTCCCTTAATAAGGTTGTAGTTTAATGAATCTTACCATGTTGTCCATATATTGGCAGGTCAAGCATTTTTGATGCAAAAGCTGGAATTTCATTGAACAACAACTTTGTGAAACTTGTCTCTTGGTATGACAATGAATGGGGTTACAGGTAAAATAAACTTTCAAATCTCATTTGATATATAAAAACAATTTAAACTTTGGATGGAACAACCTAATAATAGTTTAAACAAAAATTGCAATCACTACATAACATCTAAGTTCCTATAAAACTATCTCATAGTTTTTGCTTAATTAAGTCATATTTTAATTTCAATAATCTCATCTTTTTCACTTGCATTTAACTAAGTACCTATGATTATGTATTATATAATCTTTTGTAAAAAGATAATGGTTTTTAAGTCCTATTTTCTCACTCTCAATTTTGCTCTCTTTTTCAGCACTCGTGTGGTTGACTTGATTCGACACATGGCATCAGTTTAAGAATTACAAGAAATTTAACCAAGTTAATGTGACTGATGATCTCATTCTAAGGATTTCTCTATGATTCATACAAGTATTTGAAATAATATAGTAAAAATTCAAGAAGTGACATTAGTTACTCACTTTGAACCTCCTCTACTTTTTTGGAAGATTTTGGTATGAAATTTTCAATTTTAATTGATATTTTCCCAGCTAGTTTTTTCTTTCTTAGCCTCGAATTTGAAAAAATTATTGTAATTGATATTGATATTAATGATATCAAGTTTTTTAGACTATTTTTATCATGTACTTCATTAAACTTATTAACATTATACTTGATTGTACGGGGCTTCATAAAAAATAAAATCAAAAGACTAGACATCTATGAATTTAAATAATTAGTTTTATCGTTTATTTATAATAAAATAATTCATAAAAATAAGTAGGTCAATATTGAATAAAAACACACAATTTTATATGTGATGGATTAATTGTAAAAACGAATGTTGGAAACAATAAAAAAATTATGTCTTGTCTAGTGCTTATAAAATAATTAATACCAAACAAAACTAATTTGTTGAATTTAAATAAGAAAAAAAAGTCTTATTGTTTTAAAAAATATAACTAAAAGCAAATGTAAATGAAAAGTATGATAATTATTTTTTCAAAATTACGTAAGTAAAATTAAATTTAAAACTTAAACTTTACTTTATTGAAAAAAGATATTATGACAGATGTAATAATCTTGTATAGAAACTTAGGTAATTAAAATGAAAACTAATAGGAAATAGTATATTCCCACTGTTGTTTTTCATATTTTGTAGGACTTTTCTTATAAATTTTCTATAGGTCTAATAAAATCTAGAGAAAACTTTGCGAAAATTTTCTTTCATGAAATAATTCGTATGATATATTACTCTTTATTTTTAAAGATAAAAATCTATTTTATTTAATATTTTTAGTTTTAACCTTTAATATAGATAAATGGTTGGTAATAATATTTATATAACTAATACAACATATTTTTTTATATATGTTTTTTTAAAAGAAAAAATAATTTTAGTTATTTCTAATTCATTCTTAAAAAAAAAAACTATTATACATATATTTACATGACAATGAGAATAAATTGATCAAAGAAGTGTAGTAAAAAATTGATGACCTACAGAAAGTGATTATTGGTCATTTTATAATGATTGAAGTTTTCACCTCAGTTGTAAATGTAAGAATTGATAATCTTATCCTCTAGAAGAAATAACTAAATTATCAATAATGTTTGTATTTTAAGTAATTCTTTTAAAAAAAAAAATGTTTAAATTAATAACAAGTTCATCTTAATTTCTAAGTTTAATCTCCAACTATAATGTCATCAAATATTTATAAATAAAATATATTTTTTAAAAACTTTAAAAATAATAATTAAATAATATAATATAAAAAAAGGATAAATATATAATTAAAAATAAAGTAAATAATATAAATAATATATAAATAAATAAATAAATATAAAAAATATTAATACGACATTAAAAATAAATTAAATAAATAAATCATATAAAATAAGATTAATGCAGATATAAATCAATATATAACTAAAAATAAACAAATATAAAATAGAATAAATTAAATATAAAAAAATAAATAAAATGATACTACCGCACATCACTCACTTAACAATTATAATTATAATAAAATAAATAGAATAATAAATATTTTCTTCTTTTGGATTGATAAATATAGATGATATCATGATCCAAAGTCTTTATATATTTTCCTTTCTCTTTTTTTTTCCTTTTCTTTTTCCTTCTCTTTCATACTTTCCCTTGTCTCCTCCTTCCTCCTTTCTCTTTTTTTTTTTCTTTTTTTTACAACTTACTTTTCATTTTTTTTGTCACTTAAATATTAAGCTTATCTCTTTGTATAAAGAGATAAACATCTTATCTTATTATTTTTAATTAATAATAATAATAAAATATTTATTATTTATTACTATTATTATTATTATTTTATTTTGATTTTTAATAAATGTTTATTTATGTTTTAATCATAATTTAACATTAATATATATATATATATATAATAATTTATAATTATTATTTATTTATTTTTAATATATATGTATAAATTTATTTTTAATAATAATTTTACAATATTTTTTTCAATAAATCATTCTTTTATTATATATTTTTTTAAAATATTATAATTACAATAAAATTATTTATGCATAATGCTTTATGCTAAATAATTCATGAGTAGTTTTTAGTTGGATTGGTAATTAGAGTTGTCAAAATAGACTACTCAACCTAAAGTAAAAAAAATGATAATTCAGTCCGACCTATGTTTTAAAACAGGTCAAAATTTTTAGTCTAGCCTAATCTTATATAACACCAACCGTTTTAACTAGTCAAAATTTTTAACCTAACCTAATTTTATATAGCACCAATAGTTTAACTAGTAAATTTGGCCTGATGGAATTTAAAAAAATTAATATACCTATACCAAAGTAATTAATTAAAAAATATTTAAATAAAAAATAAGAATATATTTTAAAATTTAAATTATATTAATGAATTTAGTTTTTATTTAAAATATAATGGTTTAATATATAAATTATAAAAGAATATATCCATTCAATCTTAAAATAAGAGTTAAAAACTTATTATCCAGTATCATAATTTATTTTTTAGTAATTTATTAATCTAAAATAGTAATTAATCTTAATTATTATATTTTGAAACAAGTGATTGTTAGAAACTTACTCTAATGTATAATCTTAAAATATAAGAATTATTTATCAAATTAATTTATAATACATATATATTTTTTTAATAAAATAATATTACTTTTATTATTATTTAAAAAATAATTATTATTATAATCATAACTTAAATGAGTTAAATCAAAATAGGTCTTATTCAATTTAGATAACAAATTATTTTTAAGTATTTCGAGCATGTTTATCGTTCAGAACCTAACTTGATACTACTATTGATAGTTAAAAAAATTTATATAAAATAATATATCCAAAAAATTATTAAAAATAAAAAATATTTTAAATAAAAATAAAAAATATTTTTAAACTCTAAATATTATTAATAAAATTAGATAATATATATATATAGAGAGAGAGAGAAAGAGAGTGTGATAAATGACTGTTAGCGAAATCATTTTTGCGCTATGAATCGGACTGTAATACAAAATTCACGATCTAATTTAAGATATATTTTAAAATTATTTATATTTTTTGTTTATCACAATTAGTAAGACTATTTGATAAAAGTGTCATTATTTACTTCATAATATATTTATATAAAAATAATATATTACAAAATAATTAAAAATAAAAATTATTTTTAAATGAAAAATAAAAAAATATATTTAAAATTGTAATTATATTAATAAAATTAATTTTAATATTCGATATAATAAATTAATATATAAATTATAAGAAAAAATTCATTTTAAAAATAAAAGTTAAATATTTATCTTATTAATTATTGTGGGGGGTAAGATTTTATTATGCTCATGTATAGATTTTGTTTTGTACTATGTCACGTAATTATTGTGTGGTGAGAAATCTCATCTGCATCTTTTTGTTCTTCATACATGAAAACTTGGTTTCTCTTATTTTTACTATTTAATAATTTATTTTATTTTGTATATTTTTAACATTAATGTTTAATTTTTATATTTAATATAATAAAATTTATTAAAATTAATGTATCAATAATTATTTAAAAATAGTTGAAATTATAAAATTCAAATATATAATTAAATATTTTGTTAAAACTAATTAATTTAATTATATAAAATTTGGAATAAATTATTAATAACCTATATAATTATTAATAAATAAATAAAAAACATTATTTTTAAGTATACGTTTAAAATTAACATTTGATTAGCAACATGGAAAATAACAATTAAAAAGAAGACATATTGTATTAATTTACATTAAGTAGAAAATTATATTAAACACGTAAAAAAATACATTAAAATTAGTATATATATATATATATATATATATATATATATATATATATATATATATATATATATATAAATAGAACTCACTATATTAATAATAAGAAATTATAAAAAAAATGAAGAATTATAAGTGAAATATGGGGACATAACAAATCACCTAATTGGAGGAGGAAAAAAAAATGTTTGCTACCGATTCTATAGTTTAGTTTGAGAATGTCAACACTTTGACACTTTCCTTACAGAGAATAGTGATATTTTAGTGTTTGATACACAAAACTTGCATTTATTTCGTTTCTCATATTCTTTTATTTACTATTTTTTTTTCATATATATAGGTATGGACATGATTTTCCATTGTCATATTATCTTTTCGACTTGTTTATATTCATATTCTTCTGTCATTTTTTTTTTCTATTGTGTAAGCTAAACCATATCAGAGATCATGGGAAAGATTAAAATTGGCATCAATGGTACTCCAATCTACTATTTTCTTTTTCAACTTTTTTGGACGTGTCTCAAACTTTCTCATGTGGGAATTGTTTAACAATTGATAAAGTGAAGATGTTTATCTTATCCATTGGCATTTGAGAAAACTTTGATGTTATTTTTACATTGGTAAATGGTAATTGTATGCAATGTGTTTGTGTATTTGTTTGTAACGAAGGATTTGGAAGGATCGGTCGTTTGGTCGCTAGGGTGGCCTTACAAAGAGATGATGTAGAGCTTGTTGCCGTTAATGATCCTTTCATCACAACTGATTACATGGTAAATATAACAATTATTGATGATTTTTTAATTAGAGTAGTTAAAGTGGATATATTGTTGGGTTTGAAAATTGCAATCAAGAAAATCTTTGTTTAAATTTTCATTTGTATACTCACCATGTGTTCATTAGAGTTATCAAACTATAACTAGTCTTGTTTGTTAGTAATTTGGAATTATTTTTATGCAGGTTTATATGTTCAAGTATGATACAGTTCATGGTCAATTCAAAAACTGTGAGATTAAGAAGAAAGATGACAAAACCCTTCTCTTTGGTAATAGCTCAGTCACGGTGTATGGTACCAGGTATAATTTATTTTTTATATTAAGTTGGATTTGGATACAATTTGACTCACAACATACAAACGAATTTAAGACTAAGATTGTGTTCTTATTTTACTAGGAACCCAGAGGAAATTCCATGGGGTGAGGCTGGAGCTGATTTTGTTGTTGAATCTACTGGAGTTTTTACGGATAAAGATAAGGCTGCTGCCCACTTGAAGGTGGTTTGTTGTTAAGATTTGACATTATTTAAAATCGTGAATCAATTATGTTTGTCAAATCATGAAAGACAAAGTTTTTTGAATTTGGAGTTTTGTTTAGTTTTATTTATAATCATCTAAAATTATATTTATATATTAACATTAATTTTTGGTAAATCATAACAAGTCCATTCATCTAAGTAGATTATTTTTGTGTGTGGTGGATCAAAATTTTATATTTAGTTTTACAACTAACGGAGTTTTTGGATAAAAAGATGTATGCATAAAAATCAACTCCATTTAGAAATAATTTTATAAAATCAATTTCACTCAATTAATTTAAGAAATACACTCAAGGAATCTAAAAATTTCATGATCATGACTTATTAATGATAAAATGTGGAAATTGTTCATCTTGCCCTTTTCTAGGATCAAGTTTTTCAATAATATCAATCAATATTTAAATTTCTTGTGCAATTTTAATTTTTAATGTGTTCAAACATATATCATGTTTGATCCTTTCTCCTAATTGCTTGATCATGTCTTTTGATATTAGGGAGGTGCAAAGAAGGTTATCATTTCTGCACCAAGCAAGGATGCCCCAATGTTTGTTGTTGGTGTGAATGAGAAAGAATACAAGTCCGATGTCACCTGTTGTTTCTAATGCTAGTTGTACTACAAACTGTCTTGCTCCACTTGCAAAGGTAATTTGTCTTATAATTTATTGAACTTACAAATAAAGATTCTCATTCTACACAAAAATTAAAATATCTATTAAATTGCAATCTTATATATTTAGGTTATACATGACAAATTTGGAATCGTTGAAGGTCTCATGAGCACTGTTCACTCTATTACTGGTAAGTTAAGTGTAATAATTTGCATTGCTTTTAGTTTTCACATGATGAAATATTCAATTGACTTGTCTTGTATGTTACACAGCTACTCAAAAGACTGTTGATGGACCATCAATGAAGGATTGGAGAGGTGGTAGAGCTGCTTCTTGCAACATCATTCCTAGTAGTACTGGAGCTGCCAAGGTATCTATCAATATAAATATATGACTTCCATTTCTCTCATTAGTCATGTAATTTCAAGTATTAGTTGAGATTGGAACAAATATGTAGGTATACCAAGTAAACAAATGAATGCAAGTCATGTTATATGATCTTTTTATATGTTATAGTTACTAAACTATGTCTCTCTTATTTTCCTAATTTTTATTATCATCAATTTATATTACTTTGTATCCATAACAATTCTTTTGTGATATAACAAGTAATGTCTATTTTGAAATTGTTCAGGCTGTTGGTAAGGTACTACCAGCCCTTAATAACAAGTTGACAGGAATGTCATTCAGAGTTCCAACTGTAGATGTTTCTGTTGTTGACCTCACTGTTAGACTTGAGAAGGGAGCTACTTATGATGAAATTAAAGCTGCTATGAAGTGAGAATTAAACTTACTTTTTCTATTTAGAGGACACATATGTTTGTTTTGTTTACTTTTTTCAGATGTAACTGCTGGAATCAAATCTTCAACTCAAGTTTTCAATTTTTTGCAGGGAAGCATCTGAGGGAAGTTTGAAGGGAATTCTTGGTTACACTGAGGATGATGTTGTGTCTACTGATTTTGTTGGTGATAACAGGTGATATGATGTGAATTATTAACAATAAGTTAGTGTACATCATCATCATCATCATAATGAGCATTTGAGATGTTCAACTCTTTGGTTTTAACTTAGAAGAATTTAGCAATAAGGATTATAATTAAATGCTAATATTTTTCGCTTATGTTCATATTACTATAACATGTTATTTTCCATTAATAAGGTTGTCCTCTTACCATGTTATCTTATATACTGGCAGGTCAAGCATTTTTGATGCAAAGGCTGGAATTTCATTGAACAACAATTTTGTGAAACTTGTCTCTTGGTATGACAATGAATGGGGCTATAGGTAAAACACAAAATAACACTCCCTAAGATGCATCATAAACTCTTTTGATAGATCAACCTACATATTATTTCAACAAAAATTAAAACTACTAGATAATAATTAATTCCTTATAGAACTCTCTAATTTATTTAAACTAAGTCATATTTTAGTTTTGAATAATCTCATCCTTATAATTGCATGCATGAATGAGTCAATTTATGCATTATTTAATTTTCTGTTCAAAGATAATTGTTGTAAGTCCTATTTTAACTCTCATTATTATTTCTTTCTTATCCTTCAGCACACGTGTGGTTGACTTGATTACACACATGGCCTCAGTTCAATAACCTCAAAGCAACTTTGTCCAAGTCTCGTATGTTTAAGCATTAGCAAGGTGATCTTGACACAATGTTCTTGGTGAGCTGGGAAGATTTTGATCCAAGATCAAAGTTTCATATTTTGCATCATTCACCTTATACTCTATGACTAATTTAATAGTAGTATTTATGCTTCTTACAAATTTTGGTATCAGATTTGTTTTTGTTGAGGATGTTTCATTACTATGTGATGACATAAAATTTTGGAGGGATTTTACTCTTCATTAATGATATTTCTTAAAGCCTTTTCACACTCTTCTTCTCATTAACATTTATTGAATCTTTCTCAAAAAGTCATAGAACACCACATAAGGTCACACACCAACATCAGTTAATAAATATAAAAAAATTATTTTATTTAAATTAGATGGATGAACTGCAAAAAAAAAAAAATACCCGATGAGAACAATTATGATTTTTTATCTTATTAAACTTTATTCTTCTTAAAGAGAAAGAGAGAGCAATTTTAAAATTCTTCCTGTTTTAAAAATGCTAAATTTAAAAAATTACTTAAAACACTAAATAAAATCTAATTTTAAATTATTTTTAAATTTAAAACTTAAGTTAAATTCAAATAATAGAAAATAAAATAAAATTTAATAAAGAAAATTGTAAATTTGTATTATGTAGGTAATTAAAATAAAATAAAATATGTACTTATTTTAGCATTCCAAAGTCACTTAAAAAAACATGTGAAAAACTTCTTCCTTATTGTTATATGGTTTACATAGTGTCACTCTTTATTATCTATATACTCTCATGACTTACTATTAATTGAATCAAGTTACAAAGAATGAAAAAATCATTAATATTGACAACATGATGATCATCATTTATTACTATCTTTGAAAAAAAAATTCTTTATTTTTTATTTTTATTTCATTCACTATCATCTTAAATTAAAATGAAGAAGATTATGTTTTCCTTTTTTATTTTTCATTTCTTCATCAAGTACACCATTATTTACCCATTTGCAAAGAATAAACATGGTGGAAAGGGTTGAGTTTGTAACTAAAACTCAATCAAATACACCATTATTTTCCTATTTACAAAGAAACAACATGGTGTAAAGGGTTGAGTTTGTGAATAAAACACAAAATATTTCTCACAAAATTCAAGTTAAAGAAGTATTAACCATAACCTCATAATCAAACTTAATGTATTTTCTTAAATATTAATTTATATTTCTTGAAACTCATTCAAATTATCTAAAAGGAAATCCTCAAGTTTTTAATAATTTTTTTATTTTTCATGTTCCAATTGATAATGTTATTGTAACCTTATCTTCTAAATGTTGAACAAAATCACAATTTTTTTTAATGTTAAAAGATGTTATTGTTCATGGATTTTAGAATAAGACTTTTGAGATGTACACAATATGTCCATTTAACTTACCAACCAAACATTTATATTGATTAGGATTAGAAATAAATCTTCTTAAAACTAAGATAATGAATTTGTATTTTTCATAACCTGAATTGACATTAATCACATGAAACATAGGGAAATTATTCTTCTGAGTTGTTTGATATTTGAAAAGAAAATTTGGACAAAAGATTATATTGGTCAATGCTAGTAATATGAAACTTCATGGATGGTATGATGTAGATCAGATAACATATCCTCTCACATGTAGATCTTTTACATGTTAGGCTGTTTTCTTGAGGAATTCTTATATTTCTTGAAAGACACATAATCAATATACAATATCATATTCCTCAACTGAACTAGAATATTATTTTATGACTACTATCACATTTGAACTAAAGTAGGTGAAAAACATTCTCTCCAAGCTTGGTATTTCTCATTTCATGCCTATGCACATCTATTATAATAGTCAAGTCGTTTTACATATAACTAAGAATCTCATATTTCATGAATGCACTTAACATATTGAAATGAGTTGTCACGTTATCCATAATAAGATACTTCATGGTCACTTACAACTATTTTATGTCTTTTGTCTATTTTTTCTAGGCTAAATGTCTTAATATACATAATATTATAAATCCTCTTAATTTATTATAAAAAATAATAAATAATATTTCAAATTTAATAAGAATATCAAATAATTAAAATTAATCATAGTTAATTTATAAAGATTATAATCTACATAAATATGCACAATATGTGCACCACAAGTTGTGCACAATATTCATAATAATGTGACAAACTTTAAGCACAGAGAATATGAATGAAGGATCTATAAAAAAATTATATACAATAAGGACTTCATATTTATGGAGGTGTGTCAAAATAAACTTACCCTAATAGGTTAACTCAAAAGGCTTGAGAAATAGGTCAGATTAAGTAAAAAAATTTGTAAATTAAAATTAATCATAGTTAATTTATAAAGATTATAGTCTACATATATATGCACAATATGTGCACCACAAGTTGTGCAAAATTAGAGAATATGAATGAAGGATTTATAAAAAAATCATATACAATAAGGACTTCATATTTATGGAGGTGTGTTAAAATAAACTTACCCTCATAGGTTAGCTCAAAAGGCTCGAGAAATAAGTCAGGTTAAGTAAAAAAATTTGTAACTTAAATTGCAATAAGGACTTCATATTTATGGAGGTGTGTCAAAATAAACTTACCTTGTTAGCTCAAAAGGCTCGAGAAATAAGTCAGGTTAAGTAAAAAATTTGTAACTTAAATTAAATCAGGTCTATTTTGATCTGGTTCATTTATGTCATGACCTACATGGTATGTGTGTTTAAAAAAATTTGTAACTTAAATTGCAATAAGGACTTCATATTTTTAGAGGTGTGTCAAAATAAACTTACCCTGATAGGTTAGCTCAAAAGGCTCCTTATAAATTGCAATAAGGACTTCATTTTTATGGAGGTGTGTCAAAATAAACTTACCTTGATAGGTTAGCTCAAAAGACTCAAGAAATAAGTCAGGTTAAGTAAAACAATTTGTAACTTAAATTAAATCTGGTCTATTTTGATCTGGTTCATTTATGTCATGACCTACATCGTGTGTGCATGCTTGTGTGACGTATGTTTTTTTTATTTTTATATATTATAATAATATTACTCGTGCAAAAACTTTTTAGTGAAGTTTCCTCTCGCACGCCAATTTTCTATATATGTGCGAATGAGGGGAGAAATGGTTACAAAAAGAAATTCTTCCTCCCATACTACGCGTTCTTTGTTATTCTTTCGTTTAAATTTCAAGCAAATGATACTCTATTCGTGTAGGATCTGGTGCAACGGGAGAGAACTTAGATTAAGGGGGAAAACTTCGGTAGAAATACCACACAAGGTAAGGGGAAGTTTAATTCATTCAATACATGAGACTGAATTGTTGGGTACTCTGTGAATAAGGAATAAGAGTAGAAATTTGAATATTTGAACGACTGATTTTGAAGTTTTCTTCATATTTGAAAACTTGAAATTTTGTTGGAATTTTTGAAATTAAAGATGAGTTATATAGTAAAATTGTTGTTTTTGACTTAAATTGAACATATTTCATGTTTAATTTCGATTTGGAACTGATTTGGTTGCGTGAAACTTAAAAATTGAAAATCTGGATGTTTGTCATGTCTTCCTAGATGTTAGATTGAAGAAAGGGATAAGGTGGGAAATTTTGAAAAAGATCAAGGGTAAAATAGTCATTTTAAGAACATGGAAGGAATTATAGAAAATGTTCAAGGGTAAAATAGTCATTTTAGGGACATGGAAGGAATGATCGAAAATGTCCAAGGGTAAAATAGTCATTTTCGGGACATGGAAGGAATAGTAGAAAATGTCCAAGGGTAAAGTAGTCATATAGGGACACACATGGAATTTTAAGAAAAGATTAAGGGCAAAATAGTTATTTAATGATTTCGGGATAAAAAGAATAATATAAAATGTTTAAAGGTATAATTGGAATTTTAGAAATAAAATAAAGGTATGTTAGGAAAAATAATTAAAATATAGAATGAAATTAGAAATTTTAAAGAATCAGCAATGTGTTGTGACGTGTGTGGGTCAGATTGAACCCGAGGGCTGATGCCCAGAATCAGTCATGAGATGTTATGTATTGGCTAGACTGAGCCGGAGGGTTAGTGCTCAGAATCAGTCAAGTACTATTATTTATTTACTCGAATGAGCCATGAGGACAAGTGGTCCAGAATCCGGCATATGTGAATGATTATTGTTGTGTTTGAATGGTACCCTGGGTGGTACAAAGTATATTAGTGTACTAACTATATCGGAGGATTCGAATGCGGTCCCAGTCTTCACTGATTGGTCGGGTCAGGTAGACTACGAGATCAGGTGGTGAGAAGTCGATGGGGGGATGACTGGTGGTGCGCTCGAAGGGGTACTCCATAATGAGTGATGAAGGGCGCCAGTAATCCCACTATGTGTGGATGGTGGTTAGAATGGTACCGCGAGTGCCAACCATAATGTGCCCACAGATGATAGTCTTTGAGTTTGAGCGTAGTTAGGGTAGACTTCTGGAAGGCGTCTTAGTGTATTGATGATTTGTAATTGATGATAATATGTAATTATTAATTTTATATCTATTTTATTATATCGAATGATTTAATACTTATCCCTATTTTTCCATGTGAATGAGATTGCGATGATTACTTTTATGTGGGAGCAGATCAGGAGTTGAGAGGTCGAGATGCAACTACTGGACAACAGGGATAGTTCAGTAGGATAGTTTTGTGGGAGCTACTTTTGCCTGTATCTATATAAATAAATTATGTTACTATGTTGTGAGGTTTCGTCAATTAACCGAGATTTCAGTCTATATTACAATTACATTAATATAATGTAATATGGATGTTGTTATTTACTTGTTTACTATTTTGCGAAGACATTATTATAGTAGTGATTTCTAAGATTGTTACATCTTACGTGTGTATATATATTTTTAGTTTTATTTCTTTATTTAAGAATAAATACGTTAATATATTTTTTTAAAATTTTCAATCAAATCAAAATTGATTCATTGGTACA